TAGCTTTGGATTTTATTTTTATTATTTCAGTTTTGGTTTGAGAAGTTTAATAAGGGGTCCAATGGATGGATTCCCGAGTTGTAAACTTATGGAGTTTTTGGATTATTGGATTTCAGTATTTATAGCATCTTCTTTTAGTTTCTTTCAGCTTATTATATTATTTCTTATTTTATTTTGTATTCTGTGTTCGTTTACATATTAATTGTATGATATTTCCCTCGGGTTTGGGCCTGGGCCTGATCAACCCATGTCCTGGATCCGAGGGGTATCACACTATCCTAACTACAATCCAAATAGAGACCCGATACGCTGATACATCCTAGATGTCTCAACCATATTTATATAGTCCGTAAATAGATATATATATATATATATATATATATATATATATATATATATACATCCTAGATGTCTCAACCATATTTATATAGTCCGTAAATAGATATATATATATATATATATATATATATATAACCACACTACAGGACTCTCACTAGCCTATGCTAAGGGTCTCAACCTGAATAGAAGGTAACATGCAAAACGCACCTGAGTGGGCATGACTACCTAAGCCTAACAAGGTATATCTCAACCAACACAGCTAGCTATGCATCCTACTGCATATACACACCCTAACCGTCAACTATGAGACTCAAGCTCAGATCGCGGTACCATAATTTATATATATAAATTCTCATCCAAACCAATGTAGTGTTGGTCAACTGTTCGTCGCTCAAGACACAACATATAATCAGAATTTAAACGTTTTAATTAAATCCCTATCATTCCTATTAACAGAAAATATAAACAACCATCCAATATGTTGTTCAACTGTTTTAGTTTACAGGACATGAAACCATGTAGGATTTAACTGTTTTAGTTAATCCATTCCGTATGTATGAATGGGTAGGGATTAGCATTTTGATCTAATCCGTCCCTCCGTATGCTACCGTTCCGTACCCGTGCACACCATGCAAATGATTCATAAATGATGCAACATTTTAAGCAGTACATCAAATAATCCATATAGTTGAGAAATGCAGAATTTAAACAACTCATCAACTAACCATCCACAATAAAATCCATGTAATTGACGAAACAATACTTGATCGTTCGTCAATTTAAAATCCAGACAGGACATCCATGTAATTGACAGAAAATATATATTTAATTCTTCAATTAAATCCAGACCAACATTCATATGGTTAACAAACCTAAGTGTTAATTCAGCAATTTAAACCCAAACCATAAATCAAGTAATTACAGAATATGGTATATTATTTCAGCAAGTTCAATTTAAAAATACTCCAGTTAATTACAGAGTAATATTTAATATTTCAACCATTAAGTTCCAACCCATAATCCAATTTAAATCCTTAATTGCCGAATAGGGTGTGACACTACAGTAACTATAACCAGAGTACTATCCAAGTCAAAATCATGTAAACTACAGAATTATAAAAAGTAGTTTAGCAACCAAAAATCCCAACCACGCCTAGGTCCAATCACTTAAATGAAGACCCTTCTGTACCTCTAAAACAAGTTTTAAACTCATTCTATAATCCATTTAAATTGCTAGTTTAAACTTAGGCAAAGAAATCATTTCCGTCCATAACTAGTATGCGAAGTTGTTTAAGTTCCCTCTGTTAATTCCACTTGCATAATTGCATTTCTTATGCACTGAGAGCTTATAAAAATACCTAGGTTGCATATTAATCATCTTAGTTTACTTCCCACACAGTTTCAGACTCAAGAATCGTCCACACAGTGCACCCAAAAACCCAGTATACGTCAAAATAGGAGAGAGCATGTTCTTAGAATGCAAGAGCAGGCTCTTGCAAGCATGGAGCCGGCTCTATGCCTTCTTAGAGCCGGCTCTTGAATGATGGGAGTAGGCTCTTCAATTCCAAGAGCCGGCTCTTCATTCCTGTGAGCCGGCTCTTCATTCCTGTGAGCCTCTAATCTCCTCCAGCTCCATTTTCCGACCATCTGCTTCAGCACCGGCCACTTCCACTCTTTCTGTTTGTTTTTTAAATTGTTACTAAGAGTCCTAAGTGTGTCCAGAATCATCCCATACTCTTACTTAAGTCAGTTTGCATTAAATAAAATTTTAGAACATTCACCGATCAAACATGCTTAGGAAGAGCAAACACTGTAATCAAGCCAAACGAAACTTGCACGAACTGTAACAAAGTAAATTCACGTATACAGAAAATTGAAATAACATATAATAAGCATCTAAGATTCAATTTAATAACCAATTAAAACCCTAGAGACTCTCTAAGGATGCGCATAACACAGGCAACGGGAGAGAGAAAGGAAATAACTTGCCTCTGTAATTTTGGTTTGCCGTCCTCTGTCCAGACTTTCCGACGACCTCTTGACTGTCGTCCATTCCATTATTGCCCTAGGTTCAACCCATGAGAAGCACCCCCCTTCCTCCTTTCCTTGGTTCAGCCTTAATTCTTGGTCAAAACCCTCGCGTCCTTCTCTGTTTTCCTCACCATCTCTCTCTGTTCCCTCTCTATTCTCTCTATATTATACTGTACGTGTATAGGGATCTCAACCCTTTGAAGACCACAACAGTATATATATATATATCTAAGCACCAAGAAACCCTAAACCAAATCCTAATCCACGATGGAAAACGTAATTCTAGTCGGCGTGAGACTTACCAAACTCAAACCCTAATTATCATTATAATTTAATTCATTAATAATTTTAACCTAATTAACTCTTTTAACTCCTTTAAATAAAATAACATAGCATTTAATCAATTTAAAATGAATTTACTTCAATTACAGAAAAATAAAATACAATTAAATTAAATAGAACAATTAATCAAATAAGGCAACTACAAATACACAATTAACAATTAACTCAAATAAAAATAAAAATAATTAACAAATAAATTTAATTCATAAACATTTAAATTCACCCAACACTTAATTTAATTCACCAAAACACCTAGCCAAATAAATACCAAAAGTAAATAAAATACAGAATGAAAATAATAAAATTAATATTAAAATTTCAATTATAACCCTTTTAAAATTAGGGTATTACATTTACATTGTTATATATATATATATATATATATATATATATATATATATATATTTTATGGCAATAATAGATGTCATTGATGACAAAAGCCAAGTACTCAGTTATTTACCAAAAAAAACAAAATCCCGTACTCTATTATTTGATTCCCATTACATATTTGGCTAGCACATGAACCAATAGGACAAACCTTCTCTGATACTGAATTTGACAGATAACCCACCATTCTGATAATATAGAATTGAATGTCTTTAACCAATTGCAATAAACCATGTGATGTTTCAAATAATTTTAAAATAATGTAATACCTCACTGAGTATGCATGCAATATATTCGATCTCTTAGATTTATTGATATTTGTTGCATTGTTCAAAGTAAACCTAACAAAATTTTAAGTTAACTATTCAAGGTTGCTCAGATGGTCAGATATATTAGATTAAGTATTCAAGATTGCTCAGATATATTGCTTCTTTCAATTTTGGCATTCCAACAATAATTTTTCTCTCCATTGAGAAACAATTGCAAAGTGTTTACACTAATGATATCTTCAAACAATTTCAAGAAGAGATGAAGAGATTGATTTATTGTAATACCAAGTAAATCAACCATTCATTCTTTTTTTTTTTTAATTAATCATTGAATTAATAGAGCCTCCATTCACTAATAGTCTAATTTAATTGATTTTTTATTGTGTTCTTTCAGCTTACATACTCGCTATTTGATAGATACAAAGATGTCTTACGATAAGGAGAGTGGCAGCAATGAAAAAGCGATTAAGCAAGAGTTGGAAAGTCCTTTAGTTGAGGATGAAGTGAAAAATCCCAAGGTAGGGATGATTTTTGAGTCTGAGGAAGACGTTCGCACTTACTATGTGAATTATGCAAAACACGTGGGTTTTGGTGTAGCAAAAAGAAGTACAAAACTAGAAGTGCCGGAAAATCAAGTTACTTTTCACTTGCTTGTGCTTGAAATGGTAAAGACAGTATCAAAAGCAAAAGACTCTTTTCATCTAAGGCCTTCAACCAAAACAAATTGTAAGGTCAAAATCAATGTTACTGCTAAGGATGATGGAAGGTTCATTATCACTCGTGTCTATTTGGATCATAATCATATGCTAAGTCCAAGAAAGGTTTAACACTTCAGATGCAACAAAGTTGTGGATTCTCATATCAGAAAAAGATTGGAATTGAATGATTTTGCATGTATAACACTAAAGGATTCGTATGCAGTCCTACGCTTAAAGAATGTATTTTGGGCTGATGCTAGGTGTAGGGCTGCATACGAATCCTTTGGAGATATTATCACTTTTGACACTACTCCATTTGTTAGAGTGAATCATCAAAGCCAATCTATGTTATTTGGTTGTGGTTTGCTATCCAATGAGGATACTAATACTTATATGTGGTTGTCTGAGTCATGGTTGGCATGTATGTTAAGGTGTGTTCCCAAAATCATATCGACCGTCAATATTTTAGTCAATTTTATTTTTTCAAAATTATAAAACTTTTGACTTCAATAAATCTGGCCAATAAATCTGGCCATTAACACTATTTAGAGGTAAAAATTCTTAAATTTAAATAGGTAAGCTCCATATCATCATTCATTTTCATTCTCATACGAGAAAAGCCCAACTATTTACCACAATTTGCTTATCAACTAAAAATTTTGGGTTTCGGTCAAATTAATTAAAAATTTGCTTACATCTTTTTTATAAAAAAGTACTTACAAACCAAAGAAACGGTTTGGGTCTGGCTGTAGCCGCTACCTCTAGACTAACTACAAATTTGCTTTACATTTTTTTAACTGCCGGCATGAGCATCATGCAAGATAAATGTCTATATTAAAAATATTCTTAAATTTTTTAAAACCAAAGCCAAATTGACAAGAATTTTAAAAATTAAAAATTGAACAAAAATTAAGCACAAAAACAGAGAAGCGACTTTGAATAGAAAGGAACAATTCATTCATAAAGTTTGGCCACTACATTGACACCGAAGAGATTAGTTCAAAATAACAAAAGGGTAACCATAGACCCAAAAAAAACAAAACCTACTAATTACAAAACAGAAATGAAAACCCTACTTTTATAGCAAAACGACAAGTCGAAAACCCTAATTTTCTAAACGATATCTAATCCATCTTCGGCGCGCGACATTTCTGCGTAAAAAAGGCCTAACCACCGAAGCCGTAAAGAGTTCGGCCCTGCCTCTTGAGAGCATAAACGACGTCCATGGCGGTGACGGTCTTGCGCCGAGCGTGCTCGGTGTAGGTCACGGCGTCTCTGATCACGTTCTCGAGGAATATCTTGAGGACACCACGGGTCTCCTCGTAGATGAGGCCACTGATACGCTTGACGCCACCTCTTCTGGCCAGCCGACGAATCGCCGGCTTCGTGATGCCCTGAATGTTGTCGCGAAGCACCTTCCGGTGACGCTTCGCTCCTCCCTTTCCCAATCCCTTGCCTCCCTTTCCGCGGCCCGACATTTTCAATCAAACAACGCACAAAAAAATCTCTGAAACTGTTCCCTTCTCTGCAAATCGAACAAAACGCAGCTAATTAGAAACTCACAGGTATCTTAAATTAAAACTTAATTTTACAATCGAGTAAGCTTTGAAGAGCAGAACAAATCAAACACCTAGATTAACATTGCGATAATTATAAATCGTTGCAATTATATTCGAAAATTCAACATTTTGAGATTGAAACCCTAGATTTGCAATCGAATAAGCAAGCACTCATTTTTGAGTGAACACACACACATGAGCAAAAATCGTGGATGTATGTGCAACTCATGTAACCAACTAGATAGAGAAATTGATTCAAAAACATACAAATTGAAACCCTAACATTAAATAGACGAATCAAACTTCATATTGTGACTTCAATGCGATTATTGCTTCAAAAAGGAACGAAAGAACAAAATCAATTTGTTGAGAATATGAAGTTATACTGAAAGAGGACATGAACAAACCTCGAATGCGAACGCGGGATTGAGCTTCGAACCAGAGAGATTGCTTGTGCAGATGAGTTGGTACCTCGGGGTATTTATAGCGAGACGATGACGGGAGCTTAATTGCTGAGGATGGTCTTGAAGAAAGTTCTACACCGTTGATTGTTCGTTCATTGAAGGGCTGCGATTGTGCCTTCGTTGCTCTACTCGGATTGATGACATGGCAACAGAAGTACGCCATTAGCCGCTTTCCTCTTCGCGCTCTTATTTTGAAGAACAAATTCGCTTTTTAAAAAAAAAATTTTAAAATTTCTGGTTTTCAATGAGAGAGGATAGAGATATAAAATTAGAATTAATAAGGGTAATTCTGTCATTTGAAGATTTGGATATTTTAAATTAAAAATTAGTATTTTATTGAAGGGCAATTTAATTTTTTCTCACCTTTTAAGGGTCTGTTTGGATAAAAAATTCTAGCAAGGGGTGTCTTTGTTAACTTTATCAAACTTAGTGGGATGTCATCGTTTAAAAATGATCTAATTTGTATATAGTTGTAATTATAATAAACCTCAGGGGGCGTCATTATAATTAACCCTTAATTTTGTATACTATTTTTTGTTTTACACTTGTCTGAAAGTCAAAACCTACTTTCAAAAAACTAAACCAAAAGCCATCCGGAGTCAAAGCAGAAGATAAAGGATTCAAAGTTGGACGTTACCAAATCCCGATTTTTTGGAATCACCAGATGCTTTTTATTGTAACACCCTTATTCCATTCTTTAGTGGAAAGAAGACTTTAGTTGCCAAAAAATGAATCATTATATGTTGGCAAAGTAATTGAAATCTATGTTTTCCATCTTCAAAGAAAACCGAGCTATCAAGCAAAAGAGGGGCAAAGCTGAAGTGTATCCTTTTAGGTATGAGAAAGGGGAATAAATTACAGAGATGAGATGGAAAAAGAAGCAAGGTTAGTTTAGTAAAATTCAGAAAGTACTTAAGGGTAATTTGGTCTCCATATATTCGTGAAAAATTAAAAGATTTGTAAATACTTTTGCCTGAAGTGCTTTTTGATGGATTTATTTTTTTTAGTGTTTACATTGTAGTAAATAAGACTTCCTAAAGTGATTTTTATTAAATTAACCCAAAAAGATGTGTTTCTTGCCAAGAAATATATAAAAATAAAAAAATAAAACTGATCAAGCAGTCTTGAAATGAAATTTACAGCAGCCTTTTGCTCAAATCAATATTGTGCAGGTTGGCATTAGAAATTTTAGTGCAAAACATCTTGGGTTTAACACAGATCTTTTGTTACATTTGTGTTTATTCTATAACAGGCAGTAATTACAAATATTCAAGTCTTTGCATATATATTTACATGTAGTAGGTCTTCAATCCTTAATTGTGTCATGGGTGTGAGAAGCAAGAATTACCCATGCAAAGTCCTTCAACTGGGAAATCAACCGGTGTTTTGTCGAGAACCCAACAGATTCAGGCTCTCAAACCGTAGAACTGTCTGTCATGAAATGTGATCTTAAGTGACGTATGCCTTGACCACATCTGAATAGTTGCAGATATAACCTGTCCTCGGACAAGTGATTTTACCATTGTTCTTCGCCGCTATTTCTTCAACAGCCTGCCATTGCAGAAAGAGGTAAGATTTAGCAGTAAAAAAAAAAAAAATTATTTATTTATGAGACGAATATGCGAACCTTTGTGCTATAGACGAAGCCATTTGGTAAGACTAGTGGGGGGTTCTCCGTGTCCATTAGCTCTTTAGTTATGTAGCAGACGAGCTTTGAATGATGCTGCTTGGAAAATGGTAATGGTAGTGCTAATTTGCGGAAGCTCTCTTGTGACAAGGGATCCTCCTTGGTGCAATCGTCCTTGTAACAGAATCTAAATCAGGTCAAGGCAAAACGATGAAGTTGGATAGAATTACAAGTAGGAACTTAACAAGAAAGATCCACTGCAATTTTATGAGAATTACAGTAATTTTTTGGGGGATCAATAACAGGATTCATTTTCATCCGACCTTCAGATCAAGCAAGATTAGCAGCTAATATAGCAGCTAATAGGCACATCAAGAAACCTACTTTTTAGTTGCCAACGATTATCATAATATGATGATTTAGAACACTATGATTTGAAAGTTTATTCAAATCACATAAAATTAGAGGTCCATAATAATCTAATCCTTATGTTTTACAACATTTAAACCATAGACAATCCATATATTGTTTAATCTTGATCTTATTAGTTAACTAAACCACTGGCATTCGTATGGGTCATTAAAACCCTGGTCAAAATATATGCAAACAACAGGTAAAAGATATACTAGTAATAATTTGTCATATGGATACGGGGTTTTCAAAGCAGACAAGCCTGCTTGCAGATATATATGCAGCAAAGGCTCCGGGGTCATGCCATATATCCTGCAAAATTCCTGTCTAAATTGGTCTACTAGGTAATCCCACTGCGTTGCTTCAAATAGAACCTGCATACAACACCCAGAAAAATGTATAACTACCAAGCTCGGGTCAACCTGTAAAATATCATCTTTGAAATTAAAATCAAAGTCGCTCAAAAGGCCACTCTGATTAAAAGGAAGTATTAGTAATGTTATCAACTATGCTAACATATGATAACAAGTAAAGACGTTCACTGAGAACCTAATTGAATCTAATGGATGTTTTCAAATCAGCATAAACAAGGTGGAAAAATTGGATAATTTAACGCAGAATCTAAAACAAATTATTATCCCAAAGGTAACTGGTGCTAGTTCCCACAGAACCACAGACAGGAAATTGATATACTAAAAAGAAAGAAGTGCAAGTCCCCACTGAGCCCCAGAAAAGGGTGTGGGTCTGCGGAAGGACAATCCCATTACAAAGTGTCATTCCAAGACATCAACAGTCATATGGATGGAAGACGATTTGCATCTAAATGAGAAGAAATGAATAATTTTAAGGAGGAGAAAATACCATTACCCAATATGTCCCTGTGATATTCTGGTGCTGTGCCTTCGGATTTTTTTTTTTTTTTTTTTGTGTAGAGGGTGTGGGGAATCAAACCCACATTTCAAACTTAGCAGCCCAATTTACTCAAAAACTTAGCAGCCCAATTTATTTTTACTATACCAAGCAATGACCCCTCAGCAAGTTTAGAAAAGATGGAACTGCAACTGAATTATCTTCCTAGACAACAAATCTAAAAACTCAAACTTAATTTCATTATACCATGGAGGAGAGGAGGGGGGAAGAGGAGTAATTTACCAAAAAAAATACAGGAAGGTGCAAAAACACATTGAAAAATCATTCACTTGTCAATTGTTGTAATAACTGCTAACAGTGTTCTGAAATTACTACGCAATTAAAATAGAGAATATTCCACCTTTTACGAGTTGTTAAAACAATCACATATATAAGAAGTTATCAAGTCTCATCATAAATAAAGCTGTCAGTTTACTCATAAAAGAACAAGGAAGCAAGATAGAGAATTCAGTTTACTCATAAAAGAACAAGGAACCAAAACCAACTCCAAACCACACCCCCCCCCCCCCCCAAAAAAAAAACTACCACCACAACAAACACTTCATTATTTTCCTAAATATTAAAAACTTGTATCCACTACAAGCAAAATCAAGCAGCAAGCACAGGTAAAATTAACAATCTGCACTTTTTGATCATGAAAAAGTACATGCATATGCATTGACGTGGAAAAGCTATAACAGGAAAGAAGAAAGATGCGGTTCACCTTGTATTCTGCACATTCAGTACTACTCTTAAAAGCTAGTGCGGCCACAACCCGCTGCAGTTCTTTCATATGGGTAGCTCCCCATGGCGCAAGGTACTTTCGGGCATATGCAATAGCTCGCAAGTTGTTTTCAGCTCGTACCAACTCTATGAACTCTTGAAGTCTTAACTGAAATTCGAATTTACTCTGTCATCAAGAAAAGGATTCAGCATTAAACAAGTTCATCAATGTTTCTCAAACACTTCAACTGATGCTATTCCAATCCAACATTGGGCCAGCTAATGCAACAACGTGAACTAAAAAAATCAGATACTCGTAGCTGCAATATCTTCTTGTTCTTTTTAAGTTAAAAATGGGGTATTGATCAAATTGGAGATTATAGTTTTGGGTTTTGATGTTTCTAGGACTTCGGTTTATGGTTATGCAGTTGGAGAAGGGGCTACCATGCTGAAAATGTTTTAGGGCCTCGAGTTTTTTATGCTAAGTTTGCACAAGCATATGATATTTATATTAGTCTAGGGTTTATTTCAGTAGCCTTATAACCACTAAGTTGAGAAGGTGAGAGTTTATGAAGCAATTGTTGCAAAAGTGATGTCAAGTCCACCAATTCTAGTGTTTGTGCGAACTCCTATGAGCTTTATTCCTGTCAAGACAATCAATGTCAAGGATAGGGCATCAACAACTACAAAACCACTGGAGATTGCGGCACATTGATGCGTAAGGAGAATGGATACTTGTATGAAAAAAATGGTATCCATATTTTATACATAGGGCTTACTCATCAAATATATATATATATATTATACATGGGGCCTTAGGGGAGAACTACAATTCTTATGTACTCCAGAATAAGTGTTTGATCCTTTCTCTAGATGAATGTATAATTAGAAAATATTTTTTTATTAGCATCAAATACTTAAGTATTTCATGTGCCAATATACTTCTTGTAGACTCCTAGACAGGCATATGACTCACTTTAATGCTCTCAAGTTAAGATGTCACCCCTTTCTTGATGGTACTAGAAGTGATTCATGTGCCAAATCTGTCTCTGATTTTGATAAAATTGTAAGTAAAGTCTTACATGGGAGTTTCTACATTTTGTCGATCAACTTGAAAATGCGTTTTGGCATAAGTTGTGGATTTTCATCAAGTTTATAGCTTAACTGCAAACAAAAAATACAACACTCTGCAAATTGAATAGCGATTCAATTGAAAAAGAGTATCCACGAATTTCATCTTAGATGATCCCAATATCAACAATCAGTTGATACTGCAAACAACATTTTGGTTTTTAATGTACCCCAGACATTGTAATAAGATTCTCAAAAGAATCTGAAAGTTCAGTTGATTAGCGATTCAATAGAAAAAGAGTATCCCTGAATTTCACATTAGATGATCCCATTATCAACAATCAGTTGATACTACAAACAGCATTTCGGTTTTTAATGTACCTCAGACATTGTAATAAGATTCTCAAGAGAATCTGAAAATTCCCCAACCTTAGTTTTAGAAGAATATAAGCCATTTTAACCTGACATGAAAACAGTGATCCAAATTAAAATTATACACACAATTTCTCGATACTCTGAAAAAATCCTGAACTATCAGCAAAACTATAGGATATTTCCAAGTAATTATAAAATCGAAGAAATCTTCTGTTTCTATATTTCAACTGAACATGCATCATTTTCCTCACTATCACAATTTTCATTGGATTTTCTCCAAAGATATACTGTTGCCCAAATTTGTCAATATGACTTCATCAAAGGAAGCAAAAGAATAAGTTGATGCTCAGCATTTTCTGAAAGTACGACACAACCACCTCAAGAAAATTCAGAGCACGTTAGAAATAAAACCATTTAATATTTCATATAAGTCCCAATCTTCCAATCATCAGCCACAAGTCCTAGCGACAACAAGAGCAACCTTAATTTATACATGATCATGTAGTGTGATTAAATGGCAAGCAGAACCTGTGGTTAGTTAGTAATCATACATGCCCATGCATCATATGGTAAATATTGACATCAGAATTCTATAGGTTTTAGAGCATAAATGATCTTATATCTCCAAGGAAACCATGGAGAAAGAAGCAGCCAATCTTATTTGCTGGGATGTTTCATTCAAAAGAATGGCACTAAATTCCTGGAATACAATGCAGTACTTGCAATCAGCATATATAATTAATTCCTTACTTTGAATTCCACAAGCATGAAGCATGTAGTTTTTATAAGCTTTATAACCATGACATTTTACATTAAAAAAAAAACATGCATACACTCATGAGGTAAGGCATGCAAATTTTAGCAGAGGTGGTTATAGAAAGACTTCACCCTGATTTAAGGCAAGCAAATTTTAGCAGCAGTGGTTATAGATAGACTTTAGCCTGAATTTAGTAAAACATTCTTTAATTAAATCAACTAAAAACATATTAAACTGCCAGCACAAACTTTAGAAGGATTGACAAATTTATAAGTAATCCATACTTTATTATTAATTTGCTAATACCCACACTTAAATTAGAACGATCAATATTTCCACCATCAATAGATTCCACCGAACCATATTCAGTTGTGATAAGGTTGACAAATTTATAAAAAAGTAATCCATGTTTTATTATTTATTTGCTGATACCCACACTTCAATTATAACTATCAATATTAACTTCCACCATCAATAGATTCCACAAACCCATATTCAGTTGTGATGAGGAACGTGAGCATCACATTTTTTATTTCAATTCTTAGCTTGTTATGGGGTATACAAGCATAAATTAATCAGAAATGGCTATTTTAAGGGGATAACTACAATATAAAAACCTCTACGTCCAAAACAGGACTTAAACCTGGAACTGCCCCCTTAGAGTGGCTCAGTGGCAGGAGATACCACTCAAGCTAACAACTGAGATTAATGAGAGAATTTGGATTACTGTTGGAGAAGTTATATTTTGTGAAGTATTCGTGCACCAAGTGTATTTAGGATTAAAGCAAATGGAGAAGCAACCAAACATATGTAGCAGCTAACTCTTCTATTTGACTCTCTAATAAATGAACTTAATCAAACAAACTGTGTATACCTTAGACTTCTTCAATCTAGACTTGTTATCAGCACACCAGGCAAGGGCAGGAGCTAACTCCTTATTCTGAAGAGCATCAACAACATTTTTCGCATCGTGAAACACATTGATATCAACAAGATCCTGGCATCAATATCAACAAGATCATGGTTTTAAAAATTAACATAAACCGGCATGGTGGATGGCATGATACAGAAAAACGAAAAAAAAAAAACAATGCATAATTTGAAAGACCATAAAGGACATCCATTTGGTGCACAAAAGAACACCAAATGCACTACCCCATGTTACCCGGACAGGTCAACTAAGAAATATAACTGCAGAGCAATGGTCCACGGCATGTGAATGGTTGTTATTTTTTCCTTCCTTCTTCTAATGGATCAAACTGTTATTTAATTGGTGTATGGAATAGAGTTTCTTTTTCTTTTCTTTTTTGATAATTATAAGACGTGCCCGCCTATTACTAAATTGAAATACGAAACAAAAATATGTGTAAATTAAAGAAAGATAAAAGTATCAATTGTTATCATTTTACATTTATCATCCTAAAATATGTCAAACCAAATGATAGAATCTAGTCAATTCAATACTTGAGGAAATTAGCAAACCAAAACACCTTATAAAGGGCTGCCCAACAATATAACGGCAGGCAAACTATAAACCACAGGAAATATTACTTGTATGTTGCCGCTTTCTGCCAGCTTTATTGCAGTATCATAATAAGACATTCGCAACATGTAGTCCACAAGTATCCGCTTCAACCTTGTGTTACTCCATTCAGATAGATTCCCCAAATCTGCTGATTCTAAGTGTTCAAGACAAGCTCTGCACCTCTGCGCCTGCAAGTTCTCTGTATGATTCCCGTTTTCCAACTGATTGATCACGCCATAAATAATTCAGTAACTAGTAGTAGTAGTTGTTGTAATTTCGACATTCTGAATCAAGAGAGTTCTACTTATGCACATATGTATACAGATAGTAGTCATCTACATTTGATTAATGATAATAAGTGCAATTAAACACACACGTGTGTGTGTACACATAAATATATATTGAATGGCCATAAGATAACTCTGAAGAGTTTGCACTCGAAATAAGGGTGTGCCAAGAAAATTGAGATAATTAAAAGAAAACACAGTTTCAAGCCTTATGTTTGCCTCATTTTATCTCAGGAAAAAATAAAAATACCAAGCTTATTTGGTACTGAGAAGACGAAGCTAAATCGTCTTACTTTGCTCGGTTAATTGGAACTTTGAGTTTCCTCCAGGTTTCAAAAAACGGATTTTAGATTAAAAACTCTATTTTTCATTCATTTTCTCAGCAATCAAACATAGGCTTAGGGCTTTTGTACCAAATACCTTCCTCTTGAGACCTTGCAATCTGGAGACGAGTGAATTAAGATGCTGAACGGCCTGGTCTCGAGACAGATCTCCATCGGCGGCATCGCCGACGCCGGAGATTAGAGCTGACATCTCCTTGTCGACAGTGCGGTGGTTGGCGCGAATCGTCTTCTTGTAGTGCTCGAAGGGGACTCTCAAGAACTGGTGTTCAAGTTTTAGAGACTCCGCCAACTGAGTCAGCTTCAACGACGGAACTGTGACGGCGGCGGATACTGCCGTGGTGGCGGAGTTGCCGTTGGGAAGCGTTTCCATTTCCATCGGGGTGGAGAGAGTGAACTCAATCGGAAGGAAGCAAAGAACGGTTTACATTCAATAGAAGAAGCAACACAAGAACGATGACGTTTTGGACGGACTCGGGTCGAAGCACAAAGGGGAAATTACACTATTACACGGTTTACACCACATTAATTTTGGAGGTATAAAAAAGCGCTTTAATAAAACACACACATATATATATTTTAGCAACTCTAGTAAACATTTTATAATGGTTGAAAATACTCTTTAACAAAAAAATTCTTCAACGGTTGAAAGAAATATATCAACTTATTCTCGATTTATTTCAAATAATTGACTATTTACCATTGCATAAAATTGGTGTCTTGAATTTTTTTCAATTCCATTATCCATTATTATATCTGCACTTACCAGATAATTTTGTATAATAAAAAAAAAAAATGAAAGCTTGGTTTTTGCACTCTATTTTTATACTCTTGGACTATTTTATTTTATTAAAAAAATAATACAATTATTATTCAAAAATATCATCCATTCCAAAGCTATCAAAAAAACAGACTCTCCAATTTCACTTTTGAAAAAAAAAATGTCTTATTCTTTATTTAAATGTGGGTAAATTACATGGACCTTCCCTATGATTTGGGAAATTACTCAGACCTCCCTTAAAAATGAAACGTTGTTGCACATACCTCCCTTTTTGACGGTCAACTCGAGTCAATGATGACCTCTCTTTTTAATAGTCAACGCGAGTCAATGACGAATTTTACGGATGTCATGTACTGAATAAATTAAAATTCCCGTATTACCCTTAGATGTTTTTTGTCCTTTTGCACACTTCGACAATTTCTTCACTAAGGTGCGAGCTGTTGGCAAACCATATGGTTTATATATACATATAAGTACATGAATATGGAAGGGAGAGAAAAATTATTAAAACCTGTATTCAATATAGTATCAATCCTTAGTCTTATCAGCAACCATAACCAGGAATGAAATCAAGCAAAATATCATGTCACTAACCTTAAAACCTAACACCGCTCAGTTTATTGTCCACGCCACCACCGCCCTCAACTTCCTCTCACCGTCGCCAAACCCTTCGTATACAATTGTTATGCCCACTTTCGTAACCCTCGCTATTACCACCTTTGACATCCCCGCATTTACGTGTGTGGGTTGGCCAGGCCCACTTCCAAAGACCCGGAGATATTAGGAACAATATCGTAATAAACGAACACATAATAAAAAAAAGAATAAATAATAAAAGAAATAAAAATATTGAAAAGAAAACTAAGATAGAATCATACGTAGATAACCGGAAGAATGATGATAATTGGTCTGTGATCTGCACAAACGCAAGCTAAGTCTGAAACTGACAATGACCTAAAAAATAAATAGTGGGTTAGACCCACAAACAAGTTTTTTCTACTACATCCCAAACAGAGATATAATGAATGAATACATCATAGTCAACTCATGCAATAGTTACATAGTTGATAGATATATATACACACACTAAAGACTTTCATTGGACTAAGGTAAACTCAACCGAATAGTGAGTATCTCATGCAAAGACACACGAGGTGGTCATAAGTCCTCCTTCTACCAAGGCACACATCCCTATATCCAACTACATATCCCAACCGGTGATATACGGCTCTATCTAACCACTGATCACGAGACCTCAAGTTTGTATCATGGCACATAAAATAATATAAATATCTAGCCATATCTTAATGATGGCACAACCACATATAAAATATCGTAACCATATCCTGACAATGGCACGAACATAAATAAAATATTGTAACCATATCCTGTCAATGACACAATAAATAACATAGTCATATCCTAACAATGGCATAAAATGATCCAACTCATTAATCAGTCCAACTGCATAAATAAAGTCCTAAATCATATCCTAAAAATGGTCTCACATACAACAGGAATAGATCACTTATTAGATCATACAAAACATCCATGACCATGATTAAAATCACATCAGCAAATATTACAATTATTATAGCAACTTAACATTATTAAATCATAGTTATAACTTAGAAATTAATAAAGTCCTATTCACCAATTCTTAACAACATAAAAATAGGCATATACATTCTGATAATTTATATATCCACCGATTAAAATGATCAAAATCATAACCTTACATAAACATTAACCTCTGATGTTTAATCAATTCAAATTAATCAATTTACAAGTTAATAAATGAGTAAATCTCATGCTAACTGTGAGGACTTGCATTTTTATCATTTTTCGGACATGTCATTTATGCATTTTTATTTTATTGTCGAGATTATGATTATTTTGCAAATGTATTTAATTTTATTTAAATGTCATTTGATTATTTCATAAAAGACATTATAGACTTTTTGTTTTACAAATGGCATATATGGTAATTGATTATTTTATAAAGGGCATAATAGACTTTTCTATGCAAAAGGATGAGAATGGAAAATTGGTAGTTGTGAAGGGCCTTTTAGTCATTTCATGGGGGCATGTTATGGCTATGTGTATGCTTGACATGTGGAGGGGCACTTGGCTGTATTTTGTGTGTCTGTGTGTGATGACTTGTGTATTGCATTGAAAAAAAAATAGAAAACAAAATAATTCTGCAGAAGAAATTTCGTTCCTTTTTCTTTTCTCTCCATAGTCTCTTTTTAGAAGCCTTGATTTGAAGGTCTTGTGTTGTGAATTTTGGGAAGGGTTTGTGAATGAAAAAGATACCTAAGGGCTTAAACTTTCAATTGCTATAAGGGCTAAAATCTGAAAAACCCCCCTGTTATTTTCAAAAACTATCTACTAACCCTTTCAAGTACGGAAACTATCATATGACCCCCTCCCTGTAGTTGACCGTCTAAAATTAACATCTTCTTATCACGTGAGCATCACGTGTACCAGATACCCCAATATAATGACGAAAGTACCCTTATTGTATGGAAATGATGACCTTCAGGTTTGTTATCTAACCCACCCCCTCGGTTATGCATTCTTTAAGGTTTTTTATCTCATTCTCTACCGCTGCACAATGTGAGGATTGCCGTCATAGAAAATCTCTTCTCTCTTCGTTAACTGCCGTCTTCTCTCTTCCCTCTTCGTTAACTGCTTTCTTCTCTCTTCTCTATTCTCTTTTCGTTTTTGTCTTCTCTCGTTCTTGTCTGTGGTTGAAGTGGTTTATTAAATTCTCTATTCTCTCTTCGTTAAGCTCTAATTGATTTATTAAATTCTACAATTGATGATTTGAAGCCCTAATCGATCTATTGAAGTCAACAATTTATTATTTGAAGCCCAAAATCGCAGCCAGTGTGTGTCCTATTAGAAGCCTTAAACCGCGAGTAGGGAACCCAAATATCTTCTTCCACTACACAATCTGTTAATCGACAAGATCTCAGGTATAACAACATAATATGTGATTGTTGCTATCCAGCTGTAGTGAGAGTTACAAGTTCAGATGAATATAACAACAAAGGGAGGATATACTATTCTTGTGGTACAAAAAAATGCTATTTATGGGCATGGTGTGATCCGATTTGTACAATGCCAGCATATACTGATGCAGATGAAAGCAAGTTTAGTGAAATTGCAGAATTGAAGTTCCGGTATGATACAATTAGTTCCCATTTGGAAGCAATGGGAAAAAGTATGGAAGAACATCCAAAAAAAATCGAAGTAATTAGTTGTAGCATTTGTTATGTTCTGTGTTGTTACATGTATGATAGCTTTAGGGAAAAAGTAGTCAGTTGGTTTTAATATGAGGCTGTGTATGCAAAATATATTTTGAAGCCATATGAAGTGTGTATGCAATTTACTTTCTGAATTGTCAAGTGCATGAGTAAAAATGTATGTTGAAGTTAAATTGTAGAATTGGAAGTGTTGAGTCTTGTGTTTATTTGTATTTCAAATTGTATGAACAAAATCAAAATGACAAGTTACAATTTGCCAAGAGTGTCAATATCATTACCATTCACATCCTCAATTTCATTTCCATTTCTATCAACATCACTGTCATCTTCATTTTCAGGTAGATCAAAATCACTGTTATCTGCATTTTCAATTTTAGGCATATCAAAATCACTATCATCTTCATCTTCATTTTCAATTTCAAGCACATCAAAATGACTGTCATCTTCAGTTGCTATTGTAGGCACCTCTAGTGATCTATTTCCATTATTCTCACCTTCTGCATTTCCTTCTTCAATAATTGGCACCACATATATTTTAATTAGGGAGAACCTTTGGTTGTGTTTGAACATGTCAATGACATCCTTGTCAGTCTTCAACTCTTTTAAATTCCCATCAATGTAAGACCTGTACAATAGTTTACTTGTTGTAGTAGGACAACTGTAATACCCTTAATTTTAAAAGGATACTCTCGGTACTTATTTATTTGTTTTAATTGTATTTTTAATTATTTAATTGATTATTTGACTAATTGCTTATGCGTTTAATTAAATTAGATATTACTTGATTATTTGATTATGTGTTTATGTATTATTTGTATTTGTCTATGTGTTAATTGTTTAATTAGATTATATGCTTAAATGGTGTTTTGATTAATTGTAAATTAGATGTTTTCTTTTCTTTTATTATTTTATTTTATTTTTCTTTTATGGTTATGGGTAGTAATAATGGGCCAACCAATTGGGTCCCATGGACTACTTTGATAGAAGGTTGGATGTGTATGGATTATTACCCATGGATAGTTGTATATGTATATATATATATATATATAGATATGTATTATATACATGTATAAAAAGGAAAGTAATTTATTGTAACGACATTAATTACTTTTATGGTAACTTGGGTAGTAATATTTAATCTAATGTATATGTTTTATATTTAAATAATAAAAATATAAATAGATTTGATACGTGTTATGTTTTAAGTTACTTTATAATATTATGGTAACTTAAGTATTATTGGATAATCTATTAATAAAAAATGGAATGTATATACTTTATTTATTTAATAAACATATTCATAAATTATATATCTAACATATTTTACTTACCTTTTTAATATATATAAAAGGGAAAGTAATTTATTA